TTTTCTTTGTATTAATTTTCCCACCATAGAATTTTCACTCCAAAGCAATGATTCTTTTATAAACTGATTAACAAAATTTTAAGAAAGCCAAGGATATTTCAGCCAGTTACTTTGTACTGACAGGCAGCTGTTTGTGGTTACAAAGAAAGGATCAATCATATTATTAATCTCAAAAAGTAATCTTACAAGAGATCTTAAAAGAATCACAAATCTAAACTTTTAAATATATGAACAATCAGTTATTTCTACTTTAGATCCTCAGAGTACACATCCACTCATCTACATTTTTTAATTAAATCACACCAGGAAGCCAAGGGTAAAAATGGATACAAGAAATTAATCATCACCTTTGGTCACCAACCCATCTTTAGCAAGAAAGGCACATCAGCTAGTAATAACTAGGCTGCCTTTGTTCTTGTTCCTTGATCTCAAAGAATTACTCATTCAATAATTAACAGTGTGCCTTCCTAACTTTAAATTGTTCCCCAAGATTGTCTACATCAAAGCCATTAACATAGATATCTTAACTTAACTTTACTAATGATCTACATCTCTAAATTCTTTCAAAGGGTGGTGGTTGAATCATTAATCTGCTCAAGCAGCAATGCTTAGAAAAAGTCAATCACTATTATTGTAAATACCAGTGACACTGCCCAGTGAGGGGCTAGAAACCCCCTTAGAGTTTTTATCCAACTCATAGATTGTGAGAAACGTGGTGACCTCAAGGACAACAAGCAGAGCTATGCTCAATAACAGCATAAGGTCCTCACAAAACTAGTCCTCTGTGCTCTGTCTCTCCAAGCGTCACCCAACATGTTATGCTAACAGCTGGGCTGTTTTCCATGAGTTCCAAAGCTGCTTTCTGTTCCTCTAGCATGGCCCTCAACAATCTATAAAAAGTATTTCTCCTTTAAGTTGATTAACTTGGGTATTTTTTACAATGATGAAAAGCCCACTAACAGAAAATTTAAACAGAAAAGCAAGATCATTGTTGTGTCAACAATGTCTATGAGTTGTGTGGCATTCTTTGGAAGTGTTTTGTGAGTACAACCTGGAAAAGTTTGGAGGTACAGGTTCAAGAATCTTTAAAACATTTCTAGGGTGATTCAGGTGGGACATTGGAATAAAAGAGCAAATTCTTATTGCAATGGGGGTAGTAAAACTGTGCTCATGAGTTCTCAGAGGAGAACAAGAACTTTTTTGACAAATGGACAAGAGAGAATTCATGTTACATTCTGACAAAGAATTTGTTGACATTTTATCAATCGACTATTGGTGAACTAATTACTTTTGCAGAGGAAATGTTATTGCAGCATTTAGCTATAGTATGGATAGATACCTTTTTTATTGTATTTGGTTTTGGTTTTTTGTCATTTACAAATAGAACTGCGAACACAAAGCAGAGCAAAAGTTTTGAAAATTTGCCATTTATCCAAAAAAAAAAAAAAAGGAACCTGTAAAGTTTTGTCCAAAGAAACCATGGCCCCAAAGGCGTAGGGGCCATTAGACAATGGGGAATTGTCTTGAATGCTTTTCAGTAACTGACCAGATCCCACACATCACAAGCTGAGGTTATTAACTTTTGGAAGTTTTTAGAAGCCTGCGAACACAGGGCTGTAACACAGGATGTAAAGAAACATCCTTACATTCTTTATTCCAGGCACACAGAGACAACTGCAGCCATGGTCCAAGAGGATGTACTTATCATTTGAGCTGGCAACATTCTTTGGTGTCATACATATGATGCTGTTTGGGGCACGGTTACATTAAGTTTTCCTGGAGAGATATGAATGTCTACTCACACTATATTGAGCACCAGGGACAGGTCAAATAAACATTCCACCAAAGTCCAATTTGGTGAGCCACTGAGATTATTGGGCTTACTTGGGGAACATGAGTGGTGGGCTACACGCAGGAGCATGAGTGGTTCCTAGACAGCTTCATCATAGCAAATTATTTCCATCATTAATGACAACCTCATGAGCATTTCATCAAGTAGCTGCTCTTCAGTTAACTTTCCCCTTCTTATACATTCTAGAATCTTCCAAGATTATTTGTAGCAAGGGTGTGGTAGGAAGGAAGGAGTCATGGCTACAATCTCAGATGATAAGTCTAAGACCCTCCTCTTCCTACTTCAACAACATCATTACCAGTACCACAGATTTTGCTACCTCTGTATTATCCTGATGGGATCTCTCAGTTTCCTGACACAGCCACCTGCTGTCATACCTCTCTCTCTCTAGCCATCAGGGACCCAATCCACCCCTGAAACTATAGTCAAAGACAAACTTTCTTTGACAAGTCAATTTTAATTGTGGCATTTTTTTACAGACATATTTTTATTAAGTAACCTTCACAACACTTGTAAACCACAGGTAGACTTGGTTTTTCCCATTCTCCCTGCTTTGATAAATATACAAGCTCTGTTACAAAAATAATGCAAAAATGTTGACACCAATCTGCTATGCCCCAGAAATCTGATCAACTCTTACCGAGTATCCAAAGTAAAGATTTTAAAAAAAAGCAGGTGGTTAACTTACTCCTGATTCTGACCACATTATTTTTCTAATTCTCATGTTCTCAAAATATGTCCTTAATTTCCAGCCAATGTCTCTGTTGTGGGGAAAAGATTATTCGTAGTCCAGCACCGACTCTCCTGAGGGGAGGCAAACCGGTCCCTTTAATCTCGAGCTCAATGGGGGCAGCGGCCACCTCCTGCACCAGCCTGCGGTGGTGCGCACAATTTAACCCTTAGTTCAGACAGTCCTCGCTTTGCAGAATAGGTCCAGTGGGGGAGAATACTACTTCCTCTTCTTCCCACCTTGGTGCGGCACTCCTTTCTTCTTGCCACCGAAAGAGGGAGGCCTGGAATGCTTCTTGCCTCCCAAGCCTCCTTTCCTCTTCTCTCCCTGGCCCGGCGGTCCACCTTTTCTCTTGCTCAAAGGTCCCTGCCGGCCTTCCTTTCTCTTGCCCTTCTGGCCCATTTTCCTCCCCTTAGCAGCCTCTTCTTGGTCCTCCTCCCTCATCTGCTTCCAGCTGAGGCTTCTTGCTGTTCATGACTCGAAGTAGTTCCAACTGGTTCTTCTCGGCTGCAAAGTCCCCAAAGAGGAGCTGAAACTTCCTCTTCTTGCCAGTAATTAATAAAGGTGTTGATTAGCAAACAGTGGGGTATAGCTAAGAAGAATCCTACCCTGATGGCTTTTGGAGAAACGTAGATGACTTTGGAACTTTGGACTAGAAAATCAGAAAGTTTACACAAATAACAGGCAATTCTACTAGGAGCCTGGAAGACAGTACTGAGAATAGAGTGGACTAGATAGACACAGCTCAAGAGCTTCCAAGGGAAATAAAGTCTCTGTAAACAACTGGACTAAAGGCCATTCAAAGGATATTTTGGCAAAAAAAAAATCTGGCTATCTTCTGTCCACATATTGCCAATTTGCTGAACTTAAAAGTAATGGACTCATTTCTTTTCTTTGGCGTAGGAAATTTCAAGAGTATATAATTTTAGAAAATTGTCTCTCCCTCTCCTAAAAGCTAACAATTGCCAATAACTCCAAAGCTAGGGATGAAATTTCATGTTCAATTCTTATTACTTGCTGTGATTTGGTCTGGTTTAGGCTTGCACAGGTCTTTTGCATGCTGTTACAATTATTGTGAGTTAATGTATAGCTTCTGTGTTGTAGCAGAATCTACTGCTCCCTTATAGTTATTCCCCACCTCTGGCTCTTACATGCTCCTACAATGACCCTTGCATCCTGAGAGAGGGTTGCAGTATACATGCCCACTTTAGGGCTGAGCATCCTGCAGTTGTTTAGTGCCTGTACCTTGGCCAGTTGTGAGTCTCTGTGTCAATCATTGTCTACTGCAAATGTAAGCTTCTCGGGTGAGTTTTCAGAGATGCAGTGATCTGTGAATATAATAACAAGTCATTAGGAATTGGTTTAATGCTATGTCCATTAATCAGGATTATGGCAGTAGGTCCCTCCTCCCACTTACAGCCTATGTCCTGTTTAGCCACAGGTTCTTTGCCTGATAATGGAGCCAGATATGAGATTCATCTTATGGATTGGAACTTAAATCCAATGAAAAAGTGGTGGGTTAATCTTTTGATGTCTGTGTCACTATTATAGCAGCAGGCTGGCAGGGTTCACAGCTGTGTATAATTAATGATTACTTTTATCCTCTGGTAGCATACATAGTACCTTCCAGAACTATGAAAGCTAGCTAATATTGATGGAGCTTTCAGATCTGAGCTGGAAAGATGGCTTGGTCTTTAAAGACTAAGGCTTACCTTCAGTGATTTCTTTTTCTATTCCTTTACATTGAAACTGTTTTTTTTTAAGAATATATTCTAAAAAATCCAAACACCCATTTTTTTTCACTTAGTTTCATCATCATCTCGAAAAAGCAGAGATTTGGGTCCATTTATATTTCTGATCAGTGTATTTTAAGGATTTTTTTCACTTTTAATCATGTTTGTCTGTGACTGTGTGTGGGTATGTACATGAGAGTACATATGTAAAAATTAAGCTTTGAAAGGGTTTTGGATTCTTTGGAACTGGAGTTACATGTGATTATAAGCCATCTAATAAGGGTACTGGGATCCAAACTCTGGTCCTATGTAAGAGCAACAAATACTCTTAATCACTGAGCCATCTCTCCAGCCCCTCTCACTGATGTATTTTAATTCTTTCAGGAAATATTTAGACTTTTTGATTCATTTTATGTTTATTAGTTACCTTTCTATATGTGTAGGTATTCTCATAACCAGGAGTTATTATTTATGACACTAATATATTTATTTTGATACTATTATATGAAAATTGCAAAGATAATACATAGGTAATATATTTTTAGAATTTTTGAAGACTAGGAAAATATTTCATCTTGCTGCTAAACATTGGCTTTATATAAAAGTATATTATTTGGTTTCAAATACATTTCCCTAAGGTTTTGTATCATGGTTTTTACTGCCTTAGTGATCCTTTCTTCAAAAATGAAATCCTATGTTCACATTTGAAGAAAATTTGTCAAAGAATAATTTTAAACAAATCCATGTTGATTCAGTCCTTACTGAGTTTAAGATGTGGAGGAGAGTATGCATCACAGGCCACATGGACACTCATTGTCATCTATATGATGACAAAGCTCAAAATAAAAATGTCATTTTTTGCCCTGAAAATACATATACAAACAACAAAAACAGTCTCAGCACCTTGTATTTATATATCTGTGCATACATATACATATATGTGTGTTTAACAAAAATAAAGAAAAAGAGACTATCATTTTGAGGGGGCATGGGAAGGCTTGGAAGGAGGGTACATTAAAGGAGATAAAGAAGAAAGAGAAGGGAGATGCAATGTAATTGTATTTTAATTTAAAAATGTATTTTTAAAAATCTACACTTTTTAGACAGAACAAAATTTGATCAAAGAACCTCTCAATTGTATATTTTGCAGATATAAATTTTATAGTTCAAATCAGAATCCTTTCCTCTCTTTCTTTACTGTCTCAGGTTCCCGAGTTGAGACTGCAATTCAATCTTAAGGGCTGAAGAGGATTGAAGATCTCCTCTTCACAGCTTCCTTGGGGCTGATTGAAGATCTCCTCTACAATACTTCCTTGGAGCTGGGCCGTTTCCTCTCTGCAATCTCTGAGGAACTGAGCAAATACATAGATATTTTATTTTGAGAGGGGTCTGGGAAACTCCATATTCATGGAAGGTTGTGGGGTCATCTTCATCTTATAGTATAATCTGACACATCAAGACACACACACACACACACACACACACACACACACACACACACACACACATACACACACTGTATCATTTAGCAACTTGTTATTCACAATCTTCATATTAATGTTAATAAAAGGTCTTCTTCTACCATAAGGTACTCAAGAACCACAGTGTTAGGAAGTAATTAGACTTAAGGCAGAATCTGACAATGTAAATCATGGCAGATGATGACATTTTGTTTCAGTTGTTTGGTGTATATATACAGATCTCTTAAGATGGCTGTCCTCAACATCTTAACTTTTGAGTTGAGAAATGAGGTCTCTGGAACTGTTATCTTTACAGATTATTTAAAGCAGAAGTGACTAAAACAGTTCATTTTTATAAAGAAACATGAACTGTGAAGTCTCTCTTTATTTTATTTGTTCTTCTCTCACACAATACATCCTGACTACAGTTTTCCCTCCCTCCACTCCTCCCAGTTCCCTCCACCACCTCTCCTCTCCCACAGATCCACCCCTCCTCTGTTTCAAAAAAGAGCAGGCCTCACAGGGATATCAACTAAATGTGGCATAACAAGATGCAGTAAGACTAGGCACATACCCTCATATCAAGGCTGGACAAGGCAACCCAGTGGGAGGGGAAAGGTGTGAAGAGCAGGTGAAAGAGTCAGAAATATCCCCTCTCCCACGGTTAGGAGTCCACAAAAATGCCAAGCTAACAACCATGACATTTGCAGAGGATCTAACACAGACCCAGGCAGGCTCTGCAATTATCACTTCACTCTCTGTAAGTCCCTATGAACACCACTTAGTAGATTCTGTGGGCCATGTTCTTGTGGTGTCCTTGATCCCTCTGGCTCTTACAATTCTCATCCATCTCCACCCCCACTTTCTGTGGGATTCCCCAAGCTCTAAGGGGAGAGACCTGAGGAAGATCTCCAATTTGGGCTCCCTTTACCTAATGTTTGGCTATGGGTCTCTGTATCTGATCCCATAAGCTGTCAGAGGATGCCTCTCTGGTGACAGTTGGGCTAGGCACTGATCTATGAGTTTAACAGAATATCATTAGGAGTCATTTTGTTGACTTTTTTCTATCTTAGGTCTCTGGGTTGTCTAGTCTCCAGTTCTGGTCATCTAAACAATGTCAGGCATCGGCTCCCTCTCCTGGGATGGGCCTCAAATTAAAGCAGTCATTGAATGGCCACTCCACAAGTTCTGCCCTTCAGTTGCCCCAGCACACCTCACAGGTAGGATAGATTGTAGGTCAAAGGTTTTGTGTCTGGGTTGGTCCAGTCCCACCACTGGAGGACTTGCCTGGTTACAGAAGATGGCCAGTTCATGATCTGTATCCTCCATTACTAGGAGTCCTTGATAAGGTCACCCTCATAGAATCCTGGGAGTTTCTAGTAAACTAGGTTTCCACATGACCCCCAAACACTAATTCCACTTATCCTTCCCAGTGCTATTTCCCTCCATCTCTCTGCTTAACTGTCCCCTTCTGTTCCCATTGTCACTTGCCCCCAGAACACTCCCAAAAATCTATTCAATTTCCCCTTCCCATGGAGATCCATGTGTCCCCCTTAGAGGCCTCCTTAATACTTAGTCTTTCTGGGTCTGTGGAATCATACCATGATTATCATTTACTTAACAGCTAATATCCACTTATAAGTGAGTACACACTATGTTCATCTTTCTGGGTCTGTGTTACCTCACTCGGGATGATTTTTTTTTCCTAGATCCATCCATTTGCATGTAAATTTCATGATGTCATTTTTTTAACAGCTGAGTAATACTCCCCTGTGTAAGTGTACCATATTCCCTTTACTCATTCTTTGGATGAGGGACATCTAGATTGTTTCCAGTTTCAGATTATTATGAATAAAGTCACTACAAAGTTAGTTGAGCAAGTGTCTTTGTGGTAAGATGGAGCATCCTTCAGGTATATGCCCAGTAATGGTATAGCTGGGTCTTGAGGTAGGTCAATTCCCAGTTTTCTGTGGAACTGCCATATGGATTTCCATAGTGGTTGTATAAATTTGCAATCCCACCAGCATTGGAAGGGGGTTCTCCTTGCTCCATATCCTCTTCAGCTAGAGCTGTTGCTTGTGCTTTTGATCTTAGCTATTCTGACAGGTGTAAGTTGGAATTTCAGAGTTGTCTTGATTTGCTTTTCCCTGATGGCTAAGGCTGTTGAACATTTCTTTAACTGTTTCTCAGCAATTTGAGATTTCTCTATTGAGAATTCTCTGTTTAGCTCTGTATACCATTTTTATGGGATTATTTGGTTTGTTGATATCTAGTTTCTTTAGTTCTTTATATATTTTGGATATTAGTCCCCTGTTAGATGTGTAGTTGATGAAAATCTTTTCCTGTTTCATAGGCTGCCGTTTTGTCCTATTGACAGTGTCCTTTGCCTTACAGAAGCTTTTCAGTTTCATGAGGTTCCATTTATTAATTGTTGATCTTAGTGCCTGTGCTATTCATTTTCCGTTCAGGAAGCTGTCTCCTGTGACAATGTGTTCAAGTCTGTTCCCCACTTTCTCTTCTATCAGGTTCAGTATATCTGATTTTATGTTGGGTCTTTGGTCCACTTGGATTTGAGTTTTGTGTAGGATGATAAACATGGATCTATTTGCATTCTTCTACATGCAGGCATCCAGTTAGACTAGCACTATTTATTGTAGATGCTTTCTTTAGTCCATTGTACACTGTTGGCTTCTTTGTCAAATATGAGGCATCCATAGGTGTGTGAAGTTATGTCTAGGTCTTCAGTTAAATTCCATTAATCACCTTTCTGTTTTTATGCCAATGCCATGTGGGTTTTATTTCTCTTGCTCTGTAGTACAGTAGAAATCAGGGCTGGTGATACCTCCAGAAGTTCTTTTACTGATGTTGATCCTACTGATCCTTGAACATGGGAGATCTTTCTATCTTTTGATACCCTCTTCAATTTCTTTCTTCAATCAAAAACTTGAAGTTTTTTTATCATACAAGTCTTTTGCTTGCTTGGTTAGTGTTACCTCAGAATAATTTATATTATTTGAGGATATTGCGAGGATATTGTTTCTCTGATTTCTTCCTCACTCCATTTGTTATTTGTATGTAAGAGGGCTACTGATTATTATTTTTTAGAGTTAATCTTGTATCCAGCCACTTTGCTAAAGGTGTTATCAGCAGTTCCCTGCTAGAATATTGGGGGTTGTTTATGTATAATAACATATCATTTGTGAATAGCAATGGTTTGACTTCTTTCTTTCTTTGTGTCCTCTTGATCTCCTTCAGCTTTCTTATCACTTTAGCTAGAACTTCAAGAACTTATTGAGTAGATATGGAAAGAATGGACATCCTTGTTGTATTCCTGATTTTAGTGAAATTTCTTTGTGTTTCTCTCCATTTAATTTGATGTTGGCTATTGGCTTGCTGTACATTGCATTAGTATGTTGAGGTATGTTTCTTGTATCCCTGATCTCTCCAAGAGTTTACATCTATGCCTCAAATGCAAGCATATCCACCCTTGTAAAAGAAACATTACTAAAACTTAAATCACACATTGACCCTCACACATTGATAGTGAGAGACTTTAGTACCCCATGCTCACCAACGGACAGATCATCTAGACAAAACTCAAAAGAAAAACTGGAGCTAACAGATGTTATAAACCAAATGGATCTAATAGATATCTACAGAACATTTTACCCAAACACAAAAGAATATACCTTTTTTCAGTGCCTCTCCAAACTTTCTCCAAAATTGATCATATACTCAGTCACCAAACAAATTTCTACTAGAAACATCTACTAGAAATTTTGAAATAATACCCCGTATCCTATCAGACTGCCATGGATTGAAGCTGGATTTCAACAACAGAAAGCCTACAAACTCATGGAAACTGATAAACTCTCTACTGAATGAAAAGTGAGTCAGGACAGAAATAAAGAAATTGAAGACTTTCTAGAATTCAATGAAAATGAATATACAACATAGCAAAGCTTATGGGACACGATGAAAGTAGTGCTAAGAGGAAAGTTTATAGCACTAAGTGGTACATTAAAAAGAAATTTTGTGAGATCTCATATTAACAACTTAGCAGCACACCTGAAAGCTCTAGATAAAAAAGAAGTAGGCGAGCCGGGCGGTGGTGGTGCACGCCTTTAATCCCAGCACTCGGGAGGCAGAGGCAGGCGGATCTCTGTGAGTTCGAGGCCAGCCTGGACTACCAAGTGAGTTCCAGGAGAGGCGCAAAGCTACACAGAGAAACCCTGTCTCGAAAAGCCAAAAAAAAAAAAAAAAGAAGTAGGCATACCTAAGAGGAGTAGATGCCAGGAAATAACTTATGAAACTGAGGGCTGAAAACTATAAGATATAAACAAAGAGAACAATACAAAGAATCAATGAAACAAAGAGTTGGTTCTTTGAGAAAAATCAGCAAGATAGACAAATCTTTATCCAAACTAATTAAAAGACACAGAGAGAATATCCAAATTTACAAAATCAGAAACAATAAAGGGACATAAAAACAGATTCTGAAGAAATCCAAATAATCATTAGGTTATACTTTAAAAACCTGTACTCCACAAAATTGGAAAACCTTAAAAGCAGTGGATTTCTTGATAGATAATTTTCTTGATAGATTCCACTTACCAAAGTTAAATCAAGGACAGATAAACACTTTAAACAGACCTATAACCAACCCCTAAGGATATAAAAGAAGTCATTAAAAGCCTCCCAATCACTCAAGGCTTTAGGCCCAAGGGTACAACCTGTGCTACCATACCCCCACCCATTGCAGCCCCAATTACAGGCCAGTAGGCAGGACTCCTGCAGGCAGGCTTGACTACCACCCCCCATTAGAACCTGTAACTTACAAGCCCCACTCTACCCCCCCCCAAACCCACCCATCCTTGAGACTGCAGCCTCTC